AACATCGACCAGACTACACAGCGCAACAACCCAGAAGACAGAAATCTTCATACTCACCGCTGTGAGAACCTCAAGTCTTATGTAAAATTATGTGTTTGGTAGAAATGGCTAGTATTTTAATGTGTATCACAGAGCATCTCTGTCTCTCTTATCCTCTCTGGATTGAAACTAGCTGACAGCCATTCTCCGACCAACATACCGCATTGGCTCAGTTCTAGGGTGACCTCAAATACGAGTCGACCAGCATCTTCAGAAGCCACGCGAAAGAAAGCAAACTGTCATGAAATTTAGATGAAAGGCAAATTTTTGAGTCTAATTATCTATCTGGGCCAAAATGGCACTTAAAAAACATACGACGCCACAAGTGAACTATTCAGGCCCTACAAATCCTAATTAAATTGTTCAGGAATGAAACATTAATATTTCGCACCGTCACCATGCGTCAGTTGGATGTAGCAGTGCAAAATGGTAGAATGTCAATCATGAAGGATCGGTTTGATTGATTCTGCGTCTTTATGCAATTTTTGTTTCCTCTGACGTAGTTGATCTTGTCACAGGTCTAAGAAAGCAACTCGGTCATTTGAAAAAGTTAGAAACTCTGCATTAGTTATCTCTTAAGCAAAGCGAGCTCTAAAACTGCAGACCGACAAAGAGAAGAATATGATGACATAATTGAAAGTAAAAAAACAGAAGAAAATACATTTGTGTTTAATGCCTATTCATGCACACACAGGCATATGAACGTTGGAATGTTTTGTTTTGTCCTTTAAAAATTCCATAAGTCTGCTCAGTTCTTAGAACCACCTACAAAAATTCTGATTTGCTGAAGTTTCGTGTTAGTGGCAGAATATGCGCGTGTATCATGATCATCTCCCTCTGATGGTGTCAGTATGTTGCACAGCAACGTCATCTCTTGGTGAGTTGACAGCACGTAGCCCATGTTCTTTTCTTTTTCAAAATACGTAACTTACGGTAATTTCCGAGATACATAAAATTCAACTTATGTAAGGGTTTGCAGAACTGAGCCCTTATATATTTTGCGGATTGTCTTGAGTATTTAAGAGCTTTATTATTTAATTCTAAAATAATTCATAAGACATTACATCTTACATATTCTGAGTTACATAAGTAATGTGTGTGACTAATTTTGTCCTTTTTAAAGTTTATTTATCTTACTGTTGGTGTGAGGTTCATGGAGACAAGAAAATATGATGATCATGAATAATACACTCGCTACAAGTAACTAATGATTTTTAAGCTGTTATAGTAGAAGTTTTAATCCAGAGAAGCTTCAAGTTTTAAGTTGACCAGCTTTTATATTCAGATGGGCAGGAATTTAAAGTAAAATGGGCAATGAAGGTAAGTTTCATATTGATTTATGTGGATTCAACAGCCCTCCTCCAACATTTGACATCTCAAAATAGTTGTTTTCTGAATCTCTGTGATGATTTTTGTTAATCAGTGTTTGAAATCACACCTAACGTAAAACTCTAATGATATAGGCACATATAAATAACAGTAATGATTCTTCAAATATCAAATCTAAACATCGTAGACTGACGGTAATAATTACCATTCCTTGTTGTCGCTTCCCATCAACTTGCGGGTCTCCTCTTCCTCTGAGACAGCAGGCGGCTGGTATGAAATTTCTGATACGGGCGCATACTGAGCTGTCACAAGGAGATCTGTCGACGGGTTCAATGTCAAGATCTGCAAAACAGCGTTAAATTTCACCTGTCCGCTGACCACAGAAGAACTTTCTTAGGCTACGAACGAACCTCTTCTCTGCTTAAATAATAACTGATACATTTGTTTTCCTGCCAACTGCATTCCATTTGTGATAAAGTTACCTGTCTCTAAATTCACGTGTATATAAATCAGTAAACTGCACGAGCTGCTTTGCGGCATCACATTCGTGCACAACATAACTGAGTAGCAGAATATTATCAGACAGTTTCACGTTGGCTTGTTTTTAATAATGATAAAGTTAATAAATAATTCCATTAATATAATGTTTTTAGGCAGACCGTCAGGGGTGTAAAGAATCAACAATCACTGTGTTTGTGCCATCCACAAATGAAGTGCAAAATTTAATCTGACATGAAGAGTACAATAATTTGAAGATCTGAGCATTCTAAAGTTTCTGTCTTCTATGATATATTAATAACTTGATCTGAATATTATGTGCTAACACAAGTGTTTGTTGTGAAAGTGGAGACTGAACATTCTGGTTCCATAAAAGGCAGGGAATATCTTGACAAGCTGAGTATTAGTTTCTCAAGAAGGATGTTGCTTTATGCACATTTTGTAGTCATGTGTTTAGTGACAATACTTTTCAACATTATGTTTAATACAGCAACAGTTTCTTACCTGTCCATTCCCAACTTGATTATCTAGTTGTCTTGCAAGTCTCTGCTCTTTACTTGGAAAACATGGGCATACTTTCCTCCTCCAAATCATGCGGAGATAAAACCCAAGAAACATAATACCCAACAACAGAACCACTACCCCTCCAATAACAATAAACAGATCGCTGTCTGACTTTGCTTCACTATCTGGTGTCTCACCAACTTCTGCATCATGTTGTTTTGTGTCATACAAATCCACAGACCCTTCTACGATCATGACAAGACCTGCAGCTAGAGTGATTATACCAAGCATAAGAAAAGCCAACTGGATACAGTTTGTTCGAGAAGAACCATTACGAAACAAAGACTGCGACAAGTTACTGATCGGTGTCCAATCGTTCTGTTGTTCATATGTAACCGTTGTAGGTTGGTAAACTGGACCGCTTGCTGGCATCGTGCGTGAAATATTAGAAATGTTACGCCTTTTATCAGGTTAGGTTGTTTTCGGTTTAAGATTTCGAATTTTGATAAACAGTACAACGCCTTTATCAGGTTAGGTTGTTTTCGGTTTGAGATTTCGAATTTTGATAAACAGTACAATCACATAAACGACTTGCGAAACGTAATGCCTACCTTCACTGACTAGATTCACACGCGGATGTATCTGTGCAACGTTTATTACGCTGTAGCTTCACCGAATACGGATGTCGTTGTTCCAAGCACTCCTACGTGATCACCATCTTGGCTTCCGTGTTACCAAGGCCATGCCCATATGAATCACCTGCTTCAGGGATGAATTAATTTTACACGTCTTAACGGACAGAGTTGCTAAATTGGTCATACAATGTAAGTTTTGATTCCGTCTGTTTTCATAAACTATCGAAGATACAACAACTTTTAAGTAAATGAAAGCTATATACTACGTCTTTGTAACAGCAGTTGGCAGTTTCGCATGTTAGCCAACATTACACCACTCAACTGTCTACTGTAATAATCCGACAAAAGAAAATTCGAGGAATGGACATTGGTAGCATTGGAATCTTACCAGCCGCGCAGCGCGAACAGTCTGCGTGCTTAACCCAGTGGAATATACCTTGAAGATAAAACTGATCATCAAGTTTCGTTGTCACAAATTATTTTTTAAGGACTCGTATCAAAACATTGGTATCTTTGAGTGGTAACACGAAAATTGATCATTAATTTATAACTTACATTATGTCAGAATAACTGGTTGTTGTGAATAATTGTTCAGATAAACAACAAGTTGAACAAGTTATTAAGTCATTTTCTGCAGTTTAATAGGTTATAACAGAATCAGTTTTAAAAAGAAACCGCAGACCAAAAAGTGTTCGGGAATTACGCCCCTCCCCACTTCGATTTGAAATTTCAGGTCATGCGTCATGTTCTAAACCTGGGTGTTGTCCGTAGCAACGGCGCCAGAAGCATCATATAAGTGTCGGTTTTGCGCCGTTTCCTGGTTTCTACTTCGCACCATGTAGAAGTCGAATCAAAATATCACTAAACCTGGCATCGTGGGAGGGAAACTTTGGCGCGCGTTGTTGTATTGGCAGAGTTCCTGAAAGGAGCACATGTTTCGTTGACGTAGCCACATATCTTAGGTGGCAGTCAGTTGTTCATCACAAGTTTTGATTGTGTAGAAGGTTTATAAGTTTTCCTTCGTGATGTTCATGAAAGTGGTAGTAATACAGAGTAGTGATGGTTTACATTGGTTCGAATGTTTAAGTAATAAAATGGTTACTGAGATTTCACGAGTGTGGAATGGCAGATCGCAAAGGAATTGTCACAAGTATCCGAGCTATCGGTAAGCGCCTTTTCTGTTTCTAACCTCTTTGTAATGACTGCATGTTTATTCAAGCACTGAGGAAACTGCATCTGTTCTGAACATTCCATATTTTACTGCTTTTAAATGCTAAATTCTTTGATTATCACAATGCATAGAACTAAAACTTGGGCATTGTTATTCTTATGAAGTAGAACAAGTGTCTTCGACACTGCAGTAAAATATGTAATGTGCTTGCAATTTTGTGATAGCCTATTGTATTTGGGATTTAAATACCTATGCTTGATGTTATATAAAACAGTACAGCTTAATACTGCCAGTTCACACTAACCTATTGTGTTTTCTGTCATAATTCTGCAAAAATATAATATTCTTGAAGGTCATACACCTAACCTATTGTGTTTTCTTGTCATAATTCTGCTAAAATATAATATTCTTGAAGGTCATACACTTAGGTTAATTTTGGGAAGGCAATTTTCTGTTGCAACTTTTGCAAGTAATTAGGCCCAGATTTATTTGTTTTCTGACCCCAGTGTCAAACTGAATTGAACGATGATCTGAAATCATTTAATTACACCAATACAACACATCATATATTTACCTTCAACTAAGTACTATAAGTATATAGGGATTCCTTTAATGTAATTTAATTATTGTAAAGTGTAATTAAATCAACACCCTTCGTTATTTAATTGAACAGATTCCAGAGTGACGTTCAAACTCATTTTAAGGACTCCCAAAACTTCAAAATCATCATTTTGTCCCAAGCTTCAATTGAAACCTACTTAATCTCAATATAGTTGCTCTCAGGAATATTAACTAGGAATACAGTATATTTAAACTGTGTTAATGATGTGTTATTATTATTTTTATTATCCTCGTTATTATCTCTAAATTTTTCATGTCATAAACCCAGTGGGTACCATTATAGAAAAGAAAATATCAAATTACCAATATTAGTTTGATTTTATGTTTTCTTTGATCTGCATCAATTTGGTTCACTTCGAACACTGGGGATCATTTGATGTGAACCTGTCAATACATTTCACTTTATTTAATGTGGACCACACGCCCGTACGTCTTATAAAAATATCAATTGCTTTATTTTGCACAGCAAAGAAATGAGTAACAATCTGTTATGTTGTAATCTTGTTGAATGGCTGCATTTTGTCTTATTGTGTTGTATTTGCATGCCTTATTTCAAAAACTAGTTGTGTTTCTTTTCAGAAAAATCAGTACTAGTTTGAATGTGTGTGTATTTTCCAGATGTTACCAGTGTTTTTATAAGTTACACTGATTTACACTGTCACGTGTGAATGCGAGTTTGTGTTTATTAGTGTTTTAACTTCATTTAATATTTTTTGTAGTTTTGTAAAAAAAATGAACTTGAATTGTTTTGGTTCATTGATGTTTAGGATTTTCTTTAAAATCATTCTGTTTTTATGTCACAATTAATATCCACCCAAAATTACATCCTTCAGAGGATCTTGTTTGCTTTATTTTGGTGAAAAGATTGAACTCGAAATGCACTGGGTTCGGTTCTTTATAAATTTAACTCATAATGAAACAATGATTCATTATTAAACTTCATACTCCTGTGTACATTGGAAGTACAGAATTGTTAAAAATGTGGCGTTGAATTTTTGTTGTTGTTGTTGTTGTTGTTCTAGCATCATCTCATGCTCTTTGTTGCACCATAGGAAAGTAAAAATATCCTTCAATTCTAAAGTATTCTGGCGATGGTAGATTGCATAAAAATATCCTAATTTAAACTAAATTGATTTATATATTACTAACAACATTTTGTAGTTTTCATTTACTACAAAAACCACATGTAAAACCTTTTCGGTTCTCTTTACATTTGAATAAAATGCTTCTCACATTTATTTACATTCAAAATACTGAATAGGGAATGGACAACAAAGAAGTTATATTCATGGTTTTATTTGTTGTTAAGTTGTGGAACAAGAATTTGCGTAGGTAATTTGATATTGAAGGTTTGAGATGTTCAAAGACATTTTTAACAGACGTAAATGGAAATTTAAATTCCATGATCTGAAATAGTTAATCTTTTTCGCCTTTCCAGTCCCATGCGATGGAGAATGGACACCATCAAATATGTATTTATGTTAGCACCAGGATTGAATTAAATAAAACACTTCAGAATTATCACTTACGATAATTTTTGTTTTGGAAAAGTCACCGCTGACTTAAAGGAGATTACGTTATAAGCGTCTGTTTTTGTTGTTGTTGAAATATCACGTTCCTGGCAACGGAAAACACTTCCCAGACTTAGGAATCTTGTTTTAGTTTGTAAATACAAGGAACAGGCTATGGATTTGTAGTGGAATTAAGCTTACAGTTATTTAAATACCACAACGTTTAGTTTTGTGTATAAACGTTTTTGTGTTGTTTACGTCTGTAAACAAAAACTCAGACAAAAAGACTCTCTCGTTTTCGTTGTCATATTTGATCGGCTTGTTGATTCACAAATCCGAAAGTCGATCTACAAGATATTTTGTAATATTTGCACAGTAATGCTTCTGTATATCCTAAGGTTTATGCAGTGGACCAAGTGTCTCTGTGTCATCAGCTATGCAGCACCTTAAAACTTCTAGCGAAACAGTAGCATAATTATTGGATGTTCATGAACGTAACAATAAATTTAAAATGTTACTATTACAGGTTTTTGAAATAGACACGTTGATAAAGAAATTATACTTCTAATTTGTGAGATAGCACCTTGTTGCGTTTTTTTCTAGAACTAAAATATACATTTTTAATCAGTCAAAACTTAACTCAGAAAAATAATCCCATTAGTCAATAATTGAAAAATGCGGATAAAACCTTTATTCATTTATAAACCATTTTATTGTCGATGTCATAACCTTTAAAAAGTCAAGGGTTTTGGACATTTTGCGTTTGAGAATTTTAAGTTTTATATCTGGCTACATATTGCATTTACTGCGGTAGTTTAATTAATATACACGTTACCACCTGAAGATGACCAGATAGGGTCGAAACATGTTGTATTTATCATGCCTAAAATGCGAGCATTGTATTATTAAATTATTATATAATTGAAGAGATAAACACTGTCAAGAGAGAATGATTTTTCAAAGTTTGTGTTGGCTGTTCGTAACAGTCACATATAAAGTTCATATGTGAGACGGAGGAAGCCCCGACGGTAGAGACATTGCGTTCTGTGGCGATAGGACGAAGTAGAAATGGCTGTAGCTTCCAAAGAGGTAACCAGTTAAATAAATATATAAAGAATTTCGAGCTTTTCGTAGACAAAACACGGTCTGTCTTTCATCCTTTGGACAAAGTAAACTGACAAAAGTTTTAGAGTTTTTTTTTAAACTTCATAATCGTATTAGTGGAAGCCAAGGCTTTGTGTCTTCATTGTGGGAAAGTTAGGTTATTATTCCGTCTGTGCCTTGTAGGATTTCTAGTGTTTTGTTTTAGAAACAATGGAAACGTTGCGGGACTTGTGGCTTCGTGCAATTCGCTTTCGTACACTAATAATGACAATAATATAAAACACTTTACTGTATTTAACGGAATTGTTGTTATAAATGCACGCAGATCATGTACGATTAAGTATTTTGCAGAAATGAGATTTATTCACCATGCAGCAGATTTAATGACAAAAGGGCCCTCACTCTGGCATATTTGATCTGAAGGAAATAGTTTTCTTTAGAACGCTGGCCTTGTAATCCTGGGGTCTCGGGTTCGATTCCCGGCGGTGCCCGAATTTATAACTTGTGTTGGGCAAGGCCGTGGTCTAGGCAACACGGAGTTTTCCTCCGTGGCATCCCAACAATTACTCCATTCACACACAGAAGAAGGCAATGGCAAACCACTGCTGGATCATCTGCCAAGAACGTATATGAACAAGTCCCAGTCCGAGAAAAGGATGGAAGAAGGATCCTGTTCATATGGACCTGACCTGTCGTCAGCAACAATTACTCCATTCACACACAGACGAAGGCAATGGCAAACCACTTCTGGATCATCTGCCAAGAACGTATATGAACAGGTCCCAGTCCGAGAAAAGGATGGAAGGATCCTGTTCATATGGACCTGTCGTCAGACAGAACACTTAATAAAAAGTCAGATTAAGCCACCGCAATGCCATCTTCTGGTATCTGATGGTACCAGATCGTCCTCTCCACATTTAATGACCGTGTCCTCTACGATTTGGTTCGTTTGAATCAGGTACTGGTGTTTACTGCATGTCAGGTGTAATGGCTCCGTCTTCTGGAAGTCAGAAGTGAAAAATGAAACTTACTTTTGCTTGGATGGGGCCAGATGGCCTGTCACTTTCAGGTTTTCGACTATTTCTCACCTACGCCGTATGTACTACGTTCCCCGACGACTTAAACCTCTTTGATTGAATAACCCTACTGATATCTGCTGGAGACATAATTATAAAACTGCTAATTATGTAATCGTCTCGGTTTTCTGTTAATTCCCTGTCTTGGATCCAAATATTCTCTTCAGTATCCTGTTCTAACACCTCAATTATTCCATTAGAACGCACGTACGAAAAAAGAGTTGAAATTTTACTTTCGTAAATTGTAGGCTTTGCGGGAAGACAAAGGATTCTGTATGGATTAGTCGTCTTATCGTGGGAAAATGTCGCCTATTCTTCTGCGTTAACTTTACAGTTCACTCGGAATTATTAATGACTCCCACGTCAAAGCGCTCATAATTAATCAGCCAACAATATATTCCCTGTCATCGTGAAACTCCAGAGTTTATTACGATTAGTACACACCGTTATGCGTACCTTGAGATAGTCTGAAGACGTATTATTATAAGATGATACAGACCTAACCTCACCTGCGTTTCGTTCGATTTTCAACTAATATTTTGTTATATATTTATTTTCACAGTCTATACACAAACGTTTTAGTTAAATGATGTTGTTAAAATTATATAATATTAAAACATTATGTAGTATAAAATATTATATTTTTGGCGCTTTTAATCGTAAATACGATTTTACATTATTT